TGTGTGTGTGTGTATGAGAGAGAGAGAGAGAGAGAGAGAGAGAGAGAGAGAGAGAGAGACTGATTCAAAACTATAAAAAAAGGAACAGGCAAGGAGGACGGAAGGCTTGAATTAAGGGGGGGGGAAGGGTGGCTTCATCAAGCTTGTTTAAATGTAATGAAAGGAAATGGACATACTGCACTTGAAGCAACTACTTTTTGAAAATTGGGGGAGGGTTTGTGTGTGCATGTGTGTGAGAGAGAGACAGAGACGGAGACAGAGACAGATAGACTTGATTCTTTCATAAAACCATGAATAAAGGAACCTTCTAAAATTTAATCTCCACTGCATTTAGCTCTGCAGTTTCTGCTGAGAACAACAGAAGTCTGAAGTGTGTAGCAATCATGTTTCTCTATTTCTCATCCCCAAAGCAGACAAGAGTATCATAGTCTATTCCCAAAATCTGAATCCCAGTTTTTCTGCTCCTGGTCCTACTTTGACTGCAGAACCAAACAAAAGACTGTGGGTTTCTTTATTGAGTCAATCCATCTCATGTGCAGCCTTCCTCTTTTCCTACTGCATTGCACTTTTTCATGTATTGCTGCCTTTTCTTTTTTCCAAAGAGTTTTATTTTATTTAAACATATAAATACAAAACATCTATCATTCAAAAAAAAAAAAACTACAACAATAAAGAGAACCGCAATCTTAATTCCAGTTTGGGATTCCTCCAGGCCAGCCTTTCACATGATGTATTCTGCATATAAGACAACATACAGCCTTGTTGTACTCCTTTCCCAATTTTGAACCAATCAGTTGTCCCATATCCAGTTCTAATTGTTGATTCCTGTCCCACATATAGATTTCTCAGGAGATAGATAAGATTCTCAGGCACTCCCATTTCTTTAAGAACTTGCCATAGTTTGTTGTCCACACATTCAAAGGCTTTTGCATAGTCAATGAAGCAGAAGTAGATGCTTTTCTGGAACTCTCTGGCTTTCTCCATAATCCAGCACATGTTAGCAATTTGGTCTCTAGTTCCTCTGCCCCTTCGAAATCCAGCTTGTACTTCCAGGTGTTCTCGGTCCATATACTGCTGAAGCCTACCTTGTAGGATTTTGAGTACAACCTTGCTAGCGTGTGAAATGAGTGCAATTGTACGGTAGTTGGAGCATTCTTTGGCACTGCCCTTCCTTGGGATTGGGATGTAGATCGATCTTTTCCAATCCTCTGGCAACTGCTGAGTTTTCCATTGAAGATGATAAAAAATAGTGCACTGGTCCTTTGATATCAGGCTGTGGCACCAGGGTGGGTGATACGACCTTTAGCCTAGTTTGTTCCTTTTTGCACACCACACACAGAATGATTAAAGTGGTAGGAAAAGCCCCCCCAACTCTGTGTTGGCTATCTCTAGCAAGCATGTCATTACTAGCACCACGCTGGCAGCCGTTGATGATGATCAAATCCTCTGCGAACTAGCAAAAATTTAATGCAACTTGCTAGGCACGTTGGACCCTATAATCCATGGCTGGAGTGCAATGTGTTCCAGCAAAAATAGTGCACATCTTTATTAAATTTGGTGCATCCTGCTAGTCCGGTACATAGCCTGGCAGCCACTGATACTGATGATATATCCTACTAGTTTGGTACACAGCCTGTGTAGATTCAATAATATTTTGAATTCAAATCCTTTCAAATCAAAGGGATAATGTCAGCGTATATAAATTTTTGGGGGGGTAAAATGTAAAAATGTTCCCTGACCCCTGCACTAGGGGAAATCAATGGTACTCAATTGTGGAGGGCTGTGACAGCTCTCCTAACTGGGCAACCCTTGTCCGTTCCCTACTCCTTAATCCCCAAATGGGGGATCCCAAGCTTTGGACAGGGCTGACTTACCACCTGCCTTACCTAGGATCTGCTCCTATATGCAAAACTGCCTCTCACTGTAACCAAAAAAGCTGCAACAAAATTTATACCTGTACAATCCCCTTCTTTGCTATCTGGAAGTTGAGTCATAGCAACTGGAATTCTTTCTTGTTAGGTTGAAACCTTTCGCTACTCTCCCAGGCAGCTTCTTCAGTCTGAGGAGAGTTGGTAGGAGAGCCCTGATATATCCTCCACATGGGTTTCATTTTCCCCTGGTCTGAATAGGCTCCTTAGAAAGACAAAGGACTGGAGGTGAGTGATAATCCCACTTCTGTCCTTTCTCTTTCAAATGAAGGAACACTGCTGATTATGGTCCTGAGCCATTGTCCCTCCTGTGCTGGGCCATTCTCCTGTTTAGTGGCTGTTTGGTTTCTCCAGTGCAGAGCTCTGAACACTGCTCTTCAAATTGGACCACATATACTCTATTGCTCCTGTTGTGTTTTTGTGTCCAGTCTTTGGGGTGGATGTTCTTCCGTTGGCTCCAAAATGGGCCTTTAACAAGGCAAATGTCATGACCACCCTGGAGGACAATGGAACAGTGGGACACAGTGCTGATGGAAGAACCTGGTAATTCCTTACATGGCTGGTGTGTCTAAAAAGCTCAAAAGGATTTTTGGTAATCACCACATACCACATACGCTTCACACCGGCAAACACATTAAGGCAGAGATTCAAATACCCAAAAGACCAGACAAGAAAGAAGTCCAGTTGCCATGACTCATCTTCCTGAATGACTGAGAATCTTCACAGATACACCTTTCTTTGCTACTATACTACATCTTTACAGTTATATTAAATCAACATGTATTACATGAAAGGAATGGATGGGCAAAGTCTTAAGAAAGTTCAGCTAGAGCACAGTGTAGCGTTCAGCCCTGCCCTCACCTGTCCGTCACAGCTGAGCAGTGGAAAAGGAGCCAAGGAGTGAACGGAAGGTGGTGATAAAGGGGGAGGTGCTGGGATATAAAGGGGGGGTGTATTGAGTATGAGAGGGAGTTTGGGAGAGATCTGTGAGTCTGTGAAAGAGTGAGCCAGAAAGTGAGTGAGAGCAGAGTTCTGTGTGTCAGTGAGTTCAGTGAGTGAGAGAAATTGATTAGCAACTTGTCATTTACCTATTATATGTTACTGATCAAATAAACAAGTTTAAGTTTCAAAGCAACACATGTCTCAGTAAATAATTGGTACTGAATTGGTATTGGTGGCAGTAACTAAAGAAGAAGAGTGAGCACCTCCTGAAGGCCTGAGATAATAGAGGCTTCAGCGCACTCGCAACACACAGCCATGGAGTTTCTTATATACCCTCCTGATGGACCATTTCCCTCCTGTCTGCCAGACAAGTTCTGCCTCTACAACAGCTATGCAATGATTGGCTGGGTTACTCCAGCCAATTCCTCTTCTGTCTGGCCAGATTTTGATTCCTTCAACCAATCACCATCCCCCAAGCACCAAGTTTCTATGGAATCCTGGGAACATGGTACCCATTCCTTCACACAGCCAAGGAGTAAACAAAAATAGTTTTTTGAGTGAAAGCAGTGTGGGTTCAATTCAGATCTGGAACATGAAACAGATGCCTAAGCTCAGAATTCTTTGATTCTAATTGTATATTTGCATGAGGCTCAGAATCAATGGATTTCGGGATTATAGAAAAAAATGCAAAGTTGATCCTGAACACACACACACAACATGGCCAGTCCATAAACTTTAACCAACTTAATTTCCAGTCCTTGAATGGAAAAAAGAGCTGTGAAGAAAGAACCATGCCCATTTGAAACAAAGGTGTCAACTGGAGAGTGCTTAATTAAAATAATAGTCATCTGTAGATCAGAACCCAGAAGCAAATACTGCAAGAAAAAGAAGAGTATCTATTGCATGAGTTACATCAGCAGCATGATTCACTTGTACGTGGTGGAGAAAGCAGCCATACCTCTTGATCCCAAACTATTGGGACAGTCAAATCTTCTCATCTCACCCCATCCAACCATAACAATAAGATGATGGCTTGTGTTCTCTTTTAGTGTACAAAATACCTATGATCATATGGTCCCCATAAATAGCTGGCCTTTATCCCTGTCCATGATCTCACAGCCAAAAATTATTAAGTGCTCAGCTGTGCATGGGCAATTTATAGATTCAAACAATCACAGAACAGTAAAGCTGGAAGGGCCCCAAGGGTCGAAGACCATTTTGTTCCCTAGGTAAGGAATAGATGACTATTTCTTCCCCAGAACTGTTCTTCTTGAGGCTGCTCTTAGACTTCTGTGCTTCTAAATCAGCCTTCCTGAACCAAGTGCGTTCCAGATTTGTTATAGGAAAATTCCCATCATCTGGAAGGAACCGTGTGGAGGAATCCTGCCCTAAATCATGATGGTTCTGTGAACCTGCTATCTGATTGTCTCAAAAGATTAGCTTGTCCATTTTGTTTTTATTTTGGTATTGGTTTTAGTTTTGGTTTTGGCAGTGTGTTTCGGGAGTTTTTTTTAAAGCAGTTTTGGTTTTTATGTATTTTTTTTTAATTGATGCATTTAGTTCAGTTAACCCTCAGGTTCACTACAACTACATGGGAAATTTTAAAAATGAGCATATGCAAACGAATCCACACATGCCATCAGAAATGGCCATGTATTTCCTGCAACTTTACTTTCATTCTGTCTTTCAGGGTTTAATGTTGGTTGCCAAATCAAGACTCTTCCTTCAATGAGCTTTAGCAGTGTATCCTCTAGCAGTGGTTCCCAATCTTTGGTACCGATATATTCTTGGATTAAAACTCGCAGAAGCCTTCACCATTAGCTCTACCGGCCAGGATTTCTGGAAGTTTTCATCCAAGAAGATCGAGACACCCAAGGTTGGAAACCATGGCTCTAAAGGGTGAAGTCACCTGTTTCAGATGCAGATGACTCTGGAATTCATTACCAGTCATGCTAGAAATGCTATTTTTCATCATGTGTGAATCAAATATTGTATCCGTTCCTTTCCTACAAACACTTCCTGTAGATGCTTCTCTACAATATACCATGGAAGCATTAAGACAGTGCCTCCTTCCATTCCACGCACATTGAAAGCGTTGATGCTGAAAAGTAGGTTGAGGGATCCACTCACCTGCTTGATGGTACACAGGAGCTTCCCATAGCAGTACACAATAATGAAAAAAGGAATCACGAGACAAAAGATGAAGAGGCAAATTATGTAAGATGTATTGTTAGCATCCTTTGAGTTCCAGTTAACCGAACATGTTGTGCCTGGTCCTTCAGGTCCATAGCTACTCCATCCAAAAAGGGGCGGTAAGGACCAAAATAAAGAATAGATCCAAGACAGTAAGATTCCCATCCATACTTTCTTATAGTTTGTGGCATCTGCTTCTGTTGTTCCCATCATTGTGCAGTATCGTTCATATGAAAGCACAGCCAAGGATATAAGTGAGACCGTACCTGGAAGGGGAACAACACATAGTTTTGTTTTATTTTATATCATTATTATTTAAGCCAACAAATGCAACTTAGGTGTTGCAAATAGAAACCTTACATAAGAAACTCTCTTTGCTGAAAGAAAGAAAAAGATTTAAGCCTGGATTACTATTTCAAATTAAACCTGAGCTCTTACTAGAGGCTCAATGCCTAAACATGGGTGATTATACCTAGGACATAGGAGAAGTTAAGACTCTCTGCCAAGGACAATAATGTTGAGTAGAACTGAGAGCAACGGGGGTGGGGGTGGGGGTGGAGAAAGACTGAACACAGGATGGACTGACTTAGTAAAGGAAGTCACAGCCTTGAGTTTACAAGACCTAAAGAGGGTTGCTAATAAGAGGATTTTTTCCAAGCTCATTAACTCATAGGACCATCATCATAAGTCATAAGCAATGTGATAACACAAAGCAACAACCTAAATGCATCACACCAGAGCTAGATGCCTAAAACTCACTGACTCATTTCCCCCCACATCCCACAATCAGTTTTTTCAAGCATTGATTTGGAAAAGTTATTTTTATTTTATTTACTTTTATTATTTATAATATTGTTACTCCACCTTTCTCCTAGGCAGCTTGTATCAGTAAAAGACAATATTTAAAAGCTAAAAACAGTACATACACAAATGTTTACAAAGAATCAAACAGATGGCGTACTGAAAATGGTAAACAAAATCAACACCAAAAACAGATTCAAAGCAACAAGGCACAACACACAACACTCCATTTAACAACCCATCTCGAACAGACAAGGGAAAGCTTGTCTGAAGAGAGAGACTTTCATCTGCTTGCACAAGGATAGCAAAGATGACACTGGCCTGGCCTGCGCTGGATGGAATTCCAGAGTTCTGGGTGCAGCTACAGAGAAGGCCCTCTCTCATGCCCCCACCGAATGCACCTGTGAAGGTGGTGGGACCGAGAGAAAGGCTTCCTCTGATGATCTTAGCATGCAGACAGGCCCATAAAGAGAGACACAGTCCTTGAGATGGCTTAGACCCAAGCTGTTTAGGGATTTATAAGTGAAAACCAGCACTGTGAATTGTGACAAGAACCAGATTGTTAGCCAATGGAGCTACTGTGAATCCCTGTTACCAGCCCGACCTAACAATCTGGCTGTAGCGTTCTGGGTCCCCTGAAGTTTTCAAACTCTTTCCAAAGGCACCCCACATAGTTAATTCACTGAATGTCCCTAAAGTAAATTGCAAATGGAGAGCTTTTAATGAATTCTGCACAAAGCTTTAGGCACAAGAAACAAACTTGCCACAGTGACTTCCATGTCCTTTGCATGTCACACATCAGGAAAAGGACAGTGAAGGAGAAAGAAGGCTGTGTACAAATAAGTTCTCTAGATAAGAACGAAGCCCTTCCTTTCATCTTCAGTCTCTGCTTCACATAGACATAATTACAGCCTTTTGCCTTACACTAATCCTTCCTATTGTCACCAGGAATAGCAACAATTCAAAAAAGGCATTCAGGTTATTGGGGTTTATGTCTGTGACATGAGAACAAAAGTGTGGCAAGGATCCCCACTAATTCCACGGTTTTTTAGTAATGCAGTTATTAGGACTCCATGTAAATGACGGATGAACACAGACCACCATAAAGACAGTTTGTTGCATGTAAAAGAAGGACTGCCAAGTCCTTATTTGGTAGTTCCTCTTATCTTCAACAAGATGAGGCTTAGTAGCAATTCAGACAGTAAGTGTGTGCTTGGACGTGTGTGCACGCAGAGGCACATGTGCAACACATACACAGGGATGTGAAACTTTTAAAGGCAAGATATTGGAAAGGAAGAAATGCCATTGACATATACTGGAAGTGAGGAGACAATGCATAACTAACTAACAACAACTTAAAATGCATTTGCTGGAAGAACATTAAACTATACATCAGCAAGAACATTAAACTACAGTTGTTGTGATGTGTGTATCTATCTATCTATCTATCTATCTATCTATCTATCTATCTATCTATCTATCTATCTATCTACTGTATCTATTCAGCCAGCCAGCCAGCCTCTCCTCCAAGGTGGCACATATGGTTCTCATCTGATCTATGTTTTACCAATAAAGCAATCTCATGCATTAGGTTATGCTAGGAGAGTGTGAATAACTCAGATTTATGGATAAGTAGGGGTCTGCATCAAAGCCTTCTCAGTTCTAGAGCAACACTGACCACTAAACCATGTAGTAACAGCACGTATTACTCAACACTTCAGCATTCTGTACCTTTTTCAGACTTTCCAAATGTTATGTTTGGACTGGCAATGTTTCTCTAAAATATACCTCCTTCCCTGTATGCCCTTTATAAGCAGACATTAACTAAAAATGATGGATTAACAAAACCAATTAGCAAGCAAAAAAACAGACTGCACTTTGCCCATCTCTTTCCAATGAATGAATGTAGATCAGGGTTTGAAAGCAAAACATTTTTGCCACCCTCCAAACTGCTCATTGTATCCCAGGGTAAGCCAAACATAGCTTGAGGACCACATGCAGAACTCAGGGGTCCAATTGTGCCCAAAGCACCTACTGGCCCCAACAGTGAGAAACTGCTTGATTCCTACAGGAAGCATAAGTTGCAACTATGCAAGGTTTCTGGATCTTAATGATCCTTTTTCCAAATCTAGAAGTGATTTCTGATCACTTCCAGGTTTTTGTTGTTTTTTGTTTGTTTTTGGGGGTGGGAGGAAGGTATCTTCTGGGGTTCATACTAATATTGTTGTTTTTTGTTTTGTTTTGTTTTTGGGTGGGAGGAAGGTATCTCCTGGGGTTCAAACCAATGAAAGGGATAAAAAAGAACCTAGCAAAAAGTCTCATTTGCACTCAATAAACCACATGACGAGTTTCTGATTTGGGGGGTTAAGGGTATGGGAGGCTGTGGGCTCCTGGGCCCTAAATACCTCAGAGGCTAGTTCTAACACTGTAAGAAATCAAAATGTAAAAATAGGAAATGCCAACCAAAGATGTACACCTTAGGTTTCCCCAGCTAGAAAACCAGGTTGTGCATCTTTATCAGATTTAACAGTCTAAGGACTACAATTTGAATTAAAAGTGATAATTTTACATGCTTGTTGACATTAAACAGTCAAAAAACCATGTTACAGAGAGGAAAGGGATTTGAAATCGAACGTCTGAAAATAGATCAATAGTAGGAAGAAGGCTGAATCAGCACAAACATGTTGATATTGAATCTTTTATGGCCTCCTACTCTCTATGTATGACAGTCTCTCTCTCTCTCTCTCTCTCTCTCTCTGTGTGTGTGTGTGTGTGTGGTGTTTACAGTGCACTACTTCCTAATCCTTCTGTCTCCCTATGATCTTCTTAATATTTCATTCTGGTTTCTTTTCCTAAATATTAACCATTGCCCCTGGAAACTGACAAAATAACATTTTAATTTGTATAGTTCAGCACATGTAGCAAAGGAGAGAGGCAGCCTATCTTCCTTCCATGTTTTAAATTGAAATGTTATTGTTCATACACAAACATATAGTGAGAAGGGAAGACAGAAAGGGAGGGAGAGACAGACAGAGAATTATTAACATCAATACATGTGAACATAAGTGAATACTTTTGTTATATCCTAAAAAAATGTTTAGAAAATACTTTTTCACAACTTTCCAGGGCTGGCTGCAAGGAAGAAATATAAATGAGGAGAAGATCCTGGACCTCCACTTAACTAGATGTAGAGGCGCATACATTCAAAACACCCGAAAAAAATAAATTTTAGTAGCTTTTCACATTGCATTGGGAATTTTCTGCTGGAGCATTTTTTACAACTCAGATTTTGTCTATGGTTTCTGTGACTAGGACGGACTTTTCTGGGCTGGGATGATTGTTTATCTATCCAGCAGTAACTAATCATTCCTTCTTGCTCTTCAAATTCAAAGAGAGCTCCGCCTCATGGAGCAGTAGTTAAAAAAATTCAAAGAGAGCTCCGCCTCATGGAGCAGTGGTTAAAAAACTGCTGTACTGCAGCCAATACTGTCCTCATGACCTGGGGTTGAATCCCAGGTAGCCAGCTCAACGTTGACTCAGCTTTCTATCCTTCCGAGGTCAGTAAAATGAGCACCCAGGTAACAGTGACCTGGGGTTGAATCCCAGGTAGCCAGCTCAGCGTTGACTCAGCTTTCTATCCTTCTGAGGTCGGTAAAATGAGCACACAGGTCACGGTGGGGGACAATGTGTAGCCTGTATAATTAACTTATAAACTGTTGAAAGAGTGCTTTCCTATCAGCACTTGACTCTCTTTTCTTTCTCATGTTTTTGTGTTAACAATATATATACAGATTATGTTGGAAGCCGCCCAGAGTGGTAGTTATTGAGACTTTACATACCAGTTAATGAGAAAGGGGTGGAATTTGGGGAACTTGTAGCTATTCTCCTGTCTTGATCTCTGTAGAATGTACATCATATTATATTCAGATAGAGGTTTCATTTTCCTCTGTGTTGATCCTTAAAACAACACCATGCAAAATGGCACCAGCCACATGCAAAGTATTACAAAGCATATCTGAGGGAACTCTTCAGGTTGCAGCAACACCAAACTATATCTGCAAACCAGCTTCATGTTGCAATCTTTAAAACAGTCCAAGTAGGACTGAACATTCTCAGCGGGCACAGACTGTGAGTTGAAGGAACAGAAAACAGTGAGGGAAGGGCGTGGAATGTGTAGGATTCTAAACATAATTATTGTCAGAATCTTACAGGTTCAGCTTCTAAGTCTAAATATTCTAAAAACATTCTCCAGTGATTGGCATGTTGCTATATATGACTCAGGTCAGAACCTTTCAGTCCAGCTTTTCAAGGAATATGCAAATGTGGGATAAAATTATCATAAAAGGAATCTGAAGATTTCTTCACTTTTGGGGTCAGATGTGTTGGGGTGAGTGGGTGCAACTCAACTTACACTCAAGAAGATATACGTTTTTTCATAAAGATTAGAGAGAGAGAGAGAAAGCTT